CTCACGGCCCGGCCCCACTTGCACAACCCCGGCGGCCGGTGCCGAGCTGGGGCCGCCCGCTGTGAGGGAGCGGGGGGGGACCCGGGGCAAGATGCCCGCCCTGAGGGGACGGAGCCTTCGGGGCGGGCGGCCGTGAGGGCGCTCCCGTCCGAGGGAGTAACGACGGCCCCGCCGTCCCGTCGCGGACGGCGATTTACCTGGGTGCCCACCTCCCTCCCTCTTTCCCTCCTTGTTTTCTTTCTTCCTTCCTTCCCGGAGCCGGTGGTTTCGGCGGAGAGGGAGGGGAGCCCGCCTGGCCCCTCCCCGGAGAAACTTTCCTCCGCCACCCGCGCCAGGTAGGGGCTGGTCCCGCTGGGGCGGGAGCCGTGAGGGGACGGCGGCGGCTGGGACGGGCCCCGCACCGGGTTTCGGGGGTGTCGCGCCGCCGCTCGGCCTCGTCGGCGGGCGGGGCGAGCTGTCAGGACGGTGTCACCCCCGGCCGAGCAGCTGCCGTCTGCCGCATGGGCCGCCGCGGGCTGAGGGCAGTATATAGGTCAGTGGAAGTAATGCCCGCCTAATCCCCTTTATCTTTTTTGGCTTGGCTTTTCCGCTGCTGGTTTGTAGGGCGACCCTTGGGCAGCGTTGGTCGCAAACTTCTTCTGGGGGAGAGAGGACCCAGGCTTCGCGCAGGGCTGTGTGAGCGGGCGAGTGCCGAGGTGAGAGCATGGGATACGTGCTTTTATTTTCCGGAAGGCTTTTCCTCCCAAGTGCGACGCCTGACGGAGTGCCAGGTATTCCTGCGTAGGGCTGTCACCCGCGTGACCCTCTGCATGTGCGCTCAGTTTGGGTTCGGACTTCTGTTTTAACAGGTTAGTTAACACTGATTATTTCTTTCTCCTTGCGTCACTCGCCGAATCACCGAAGGCTGTTTTGGCGTTTGCTGTGGATGCCAAAGGAAAGTAGAGGTCTCGGCAACTTCGGGGCCCGGGTAACGGGAGAAGGCAGTGTTCCCTGACAAAGTGATTGCTGTGTTGCTCTCTCTGACCTTTAAGGAACTATTAGCAAGGTCATGTGAACCTTTCTGTTGCACAAGGGTGTAGGTAGCAGCTGGGCATGGTTGAATTGCTCCATGTGGACAAATACATAGGTGCTGGCAGATGCCCACTGTCTGCTGAGATGTCGTACATAAGGCGAGCCTTGCCAGTATAGGAGTTTGCCAGGTTGGGGCATGTGGTTTCTTGTAACTGAGAAAGGCTAAGGCATACTTGATTTGGAGATTTTTATTTCAGTCTGATTTTTCTCTTCCCTTGGCTGTTTGATTGGTTTTGTGATTAGCATTAACATATCTCATACAATGACAATAAGAAGAAAAAATGCATAAAAATGATTGTATAATTTTGTATGCCACCCTATTACTTGTGACTGAACTAAATGTGACTTCAGAATCTGCCAGTGCCCTCTCTGCCTAGGTATTTTCTGTTGATTGATATGAAACTGATACTGTGCAAGAGTTTATAGTTGCCTTTTACTTTAGTACAACAGTGCTTTTATTCTCCCATATAGCAGTAAGAAGGATCTAGGGCCTCATCCTAGTGGGGAAGCATGAGGTTTTAATTTTGTTTTCATTTTTGGAGAGAAGAGGTAGTGATAATGAATTGTCCATTCAAAGAGCTCTCTCATAGACCAAAAAGGTAATAAGTAGTGTTAGGTTCTGCAGTATAGACCCATGTCTCTGCCCATGTGCTTTATTTATATTGTAATTTCTAGAAGTAAACATTTTGGAAGAAGTGTTGATTGGAAAGATTTGTTATACCTGAATGAGTGATGTCAAATTACAGTTTTCACATTATCTGTGGTGCTTTACTTCTGCTGGGGTATATGTGTACAAGAGTCTACCTGATCTGAAACTAATCTAAGAATTAGGACCTAATACTGTAATTCGTTTCTTCCTCTCTTGCTCTGCTTTAATGAACATGGAAGGCAAAGGGAGAAGGACAAGAAAAAAGACAGAAAAATTTACAATCTGTAAGGTGAAGTATAAATAATTGTAGAGGGCAGGATTGTACCAGTGAGATACTGATGTGAGGATGGCACTGTTGAAACTCATGGAACATCCAGATACCTTTTCCTCTTATCTGTCTCAATCAAAACAAATGTTTTCAATTGACTTTTGCTAACAGTTGTTTTAGTCTGTTTATTGACCCATGGTGATTGACAATATGTGCTTTGAAAAGGAAGCAAATCCTATTAGAACAATGAAAAATGTGTGGGCAAAGTGCGTGGAAGAAACTTAGCTTTATGTACATAGTTCCCTTTTTTCTTTTTTAACCTTTACTGTGTGTAAACTATATGGTGGTGCTGGTAAAAACTGGATTGTCCTCTGTAAGGGTTTTGGCTTTGAGTTGTTTTTGTTTTATTTTTGTGGTTTTATTCCCCTAAATAGGATACAAACCTTCATAGAATATGAAGCCAAGACAATCAAAACTGGAGAAACTGCTGCTAATGTGGTTTTACTTGATCCTGGCATGAAACTGAGTTTTAGAAATTTATAGCTATGTTTTCTCTTCAAAAAGATCATAATGATGCATTGATACCTGTCAAGCTTAAGTCTTGAGATTTACAGACTCTCAGTACTATCTGAAGCATCAGTTTCTCTGTTAAATTGTACATTGTAGGATTAAGATTACTTTGATATGCATCGTTTTAAGACTTCTTTTTAACAAAGAATTTATTCATAAGTGCTGCTGTTGCTCCTTGCGTATCTTTATTTATTATATATGGATGCTGCTTTTTGATGCCTGCAGAGGGTTTCATTGCAAAGATCTCCAAATTTTAATTAGTCTGATGGGAATCTTGTTTAGTTCTATAATGTTTGAGTAGCATACTTGACTCCAAAGATGCAGCTCTCCACATCCTGATCTGATGTTACTGATGTGAGCAGTAGTTTCCATCAGACATGAGAGAGATGTGTTCTCTCTCTCTCTGTCCCATAGCATGTTTAGTGTAGTTGGTATGTTCATGGTGTTTATGTGCTGCTGAGCACAAGACTTTTTTGACCTCTCATTCCAGTCATCATTTTTGTTAACAAATTTATATTTTGGTTTAGAGACAAACACTCAGGCTGTTCTACTCAGACATGCTGGCTTGACATTGCTACCTTACTTACGGTCACTTCTCAGTCTAATGGGATAGGTCAGTTTTATATTAAATAGCTTCCACCCCAACAAAATAGTCATGTGCTGTGTCTGCATCAGAATAAGCACCAGGAAAGAGGACATCAAGGAAGGCTCTTAGCAGAATAGTGCTTTTGGATGCGTTTCTGGTAATGCAATACACAACAGCAGATGCCTGTATTTTTGGTATGTTGTGGTTGCACTTTTAATGCTCTGATAATATTGAGTAGACACAAGAAACCTTGGGGTGCTTCCAGAAGAGACTACAAAGGTCTACACTAGTCAAAAGTTGGGGTATGAATGACCTAGGAGTTCTGAATTTTTTTCCAGTTGTTTTTGCAATACATTATAGTGGCCAAATAAAGACTTGTAAGTAGATGAAGGTATGGCTGCTCTGTAAGAATGTCTGCATTTTTAAAAACTCATGCAAACAGCTTTCTGGAATTTCATTAGAAAGCCTGAGCTTTCTGTAGAGTAAAACTGGTGAAGAAATAGTGCCTTTTCCTGATCTGATTAATTTATTTAGAAAATAGAGCTAGGACTTCATTGTGTCATGGGTAGCAGGTCAGCTAGACCTGGATCAAGCTGCTGAGGCTGCATCTCAGGTCCTGGGTCCAGTTCTTGGCCCCTCACAAGGACATTGAGGTTCTGGAGCTTGTCCAGAGAAGGACAGTGAAGCTTGTGAGGAGTTTAGAGAGTGAGTCCTGGGAGGGGTGGCTGAGGGATCAGGCAGTGTGTAACCTGGAGAAAAGAAGGCTCAGGGGAGATCTCATCACTCTCTACAACTGCCTGAAAGGAGCTTGTAACCAGGCGGGTGTTGATCCCTTCTCCCAGGCAACCAGTAACAGAAGAAATGGCTTCAAGCTGTGCCAGAGGAGGTTCAGGCTGGACATCAGGAAGAATTTCTTCTCTTCAGAGGTGGTTAAGCATTGGCATGGGCTGCGCAGGGAAGGGATGGAGCCACCATCCCTGTGAGTGTTCAGGAAGTGAAATCATGTGGCATTTGATGCTATGGTTTAGTTGCCATAGTGGTGTTCAGTCACAGGTTGGACTTGCTGATCTTGAAGGTCTTTTCCATCCTTAATAATTCTGTGATTCTGTTGAATTAAAAAAGCAGTTTTGAATGCCCTTGTGAATGTGTACAATAAGTGCTTCTGGCTTAATATCACTCCATTGTAATAGATGTGTACACACACCAGTACATTTTAAAGAGTCAGCTTTAACTGTGGAGTTGCTGTGATGGTAAGGAAGCACTCACCAGCTGAAGTTAGTGTTTTGAACATTGAGAAGCTTTGGGAATGCATCTTCCCGTACTTTCTGTTGTAGGTATTGATCATGAGACTTCCTGTTAGTACAGGTGGGTACCTCTCAGTCAAGTATGGTATGTTAAGAATGCTTTGTGTGTTAAACCATGTGGCCAAAAAATTCTGGTCTAAGGTGATCCTGAAGGGCATATCCAGGTGAGGCAATTCCATGTGGAATTGAAACAGAGCAGGTAAGATAAGAGCTGGTGACAGTGGTGAGAGGCTTAAGGCATGTGAAGGCCTAATCTATGTTACCTATGATATCAAGTGGGATTACTTTTAATTTGCAAAGGAAAGTTTGGAAACATGACACAAGCATAGCTGTCTGCATGCAGGAGGTCCAGCATGTAGCTGGGATTTTGACTCATGTAGCACCTTTTTCTAGCAATTGGAAAATTGCCCTGAAGTTTTTTCTGTTTCAAACTGTGGTGCCTTCCCATGGGTGGTGAGTTACTGGGAAATCAATGACTTCTTTTTCTTTTCTTTACAAAGAAAAAGGTCAAATTTTGATGCAGTACTGAATTGCCTATGTGTACAGTAATGTTAGACTGTGACCGTTAATTCTGATCTAAACATAATGAGCATGGTGTTACCTACGTTTTGTGTGAGAACATACATAACATAGCTAGATTAGTGCTAAAAGTACAAGGCAAATTCTTATCATGTAGTTTTTGCCATTTAGCTTTAGAAGCACAGTCAAATATTTTCTCCCCTTGTACCTCTACTGTAGTCTTCAAGCATATGACAGACATGGTTTTGTTTATTTAAACATTTGCGTGCCTTAGAAGAACTTGTCTTTTTTTTATTTTAAGACAGGAAAGCTGTGTGGTAATAAAAATGAGCTAGATTCTTTGTGTTAGTAACTATTACTGAAAGACAATTGTGCCCATTGTCCTTCTGATTCTAGCTCATTTTTGCAAGTTGCCTGTATTGTACATTGGTGAAGGGCAGGATTTCTTTCTGTGAAAATTTTTATATAAGAAGACTATTCTAGCAGTAGTGGAGTTTGCCTGCAGAACTGATCAAATGATGGCCTTGAACAAGCTCACAGTTGGAAGGATTTCCTAGTGCATGTGAAAAAAATAAAACTTTTAAAGTATTGACAGTCTTTATATTCCAGTAAATCTTTGGACTGTAACTTAAATTTAGCTGTTGGCTAACAGTTAAAGGGGTAAATTGATGAAGAATCAATCCCATTTGCATTCACAAAATCTTTTGTTAAACCTCAGATACCCCTGAGCAGGAGGGAAGAGAATATTACACTTTTGAGTTAGTTTTATTAACAATTAACAGTTAATATTATTGTAATAACTAAATTATTTTCAGATGTTTAGGTTTTTTACACACTAGTCAGAGAGCTGTAGTTAAAAAGTTGTTACTGTGCAGCCAAGT